ACCTCGGCGGAACTGAAGCCGCCATCTTCGTCGGAATCAAGTCGTCGCCGGACGCTGTCATCGCCGGAATTGTCATCGCCGACCTAGGGTCGGAACCCTAGGCCAGCACTTCTCTATTCACGATCTCCCTCTGTTCTCTGTTTCTATCCGATCTGGTATCTGCCCCCCCTTCGATCTCATCTCTATCTCCTCTCTTTATAATTGAATTTTGAAGATATTGAATTGGAGAAGAAGACTCTGTGCAATCCACCTCTTCGCACTTCTTCCGCTGCTCTCCGTTTATTTCTTCCGTTTCGTGCGCGTGGAAAGAGCACGGCTTGTCTTCTTTTTTTTCTTTTAACTTTTGTTTTCCTTTGCTTCAATTGTGACTTGATCATGTGGGTCAAATTGACTTGGCCCAATAACTCTTTGTAAATATGCATTCAATTTTGACATTTCTTCATCCTTTTGTACTCCATATCTAAAAATTTGTATCAAGGTAATAAACAATACTTCCAAAATATTTGTAGAATATAAATATGCTCAAAATTTTGCATTTTATATACAAAATGTAAACAATAGCCTAAAATGCTAAATAGAACAAAATGTGATTATTTAGGTATAAAATGCATATTAAATATCTTAAAAGTACTAAAAAATGAAAGAATAAAATATGACATTTTGTGACTTAACACTAATATTATATTCACACTTTAACACTTTATTGTACATTTCTCAAATGGTGTCACTTAGGCACTTTAACCTCTTTTTTTATTTATTTTATTCTCCATATACAGAAGATTCATTGTTCTATCATGGGAACCTTGCCGTTGTTGCATTCGAACTTCAATCAAAAAAGAAATTCAACGTTTCGTTTAGCGAGTACTTATTGAATTGGCAAGACCTATTTTTCCTTCATCTCAAGCTCTCAGTCGGGACCCAATGCACCCCTACTTGAAGAACTCCCAAATTTTGTTGGCTTTGAATTAAAAAGTTTTTTGCTAAAGTGAACAAAATTTATTTAGAGGTTACAAGTCAGACCTGGCTAGGAGATTTATAAAAAATCAAGTGGTAAGAACATTATTTTTTTATTAGTGCATGGGCAGCTCAGTTGGTCGAGAACGTGAAATCTTGAACCGCTAACAAGGGATCGAGTCTTCCAATCGGCAGTGTGGGAGCTATCCAAAAATCTCATAAAGGATGATAAGGCTCTTTGTGCGCGGTGGGCACGGGTCTAGCGTTCTTGGCCGACTGAGTCACCATGATTTACCTCTTCCATCATCCCTGTCGGGTCAGGGGGTGGGGACGCCTGGGGTGAACGATTCCACCTTTTTTGAACCTTAAACCGATATCATAATAGACATTAACGATTCCATGTCAAAGGATCACATATTCAGGTGGCATTTGCCATCAAAAGTTATATTTATACTTTTTTCATCTCAAAAAAGGTCTAATCTTTGACTTGACTCGAATATTAAGAAAAATAAAAGTATTTCATTAAGAATAATTCAAATGAGAGAAAAAATTATCATGAACATAAATTTCATTCTCAAAATAGAAAGTGAAACTTTTTTTAGGAATGAACAAAAGAGGAAATGTTGAACCTTTAAATTTATGAAGCGGAAAGAGTATAAAATAAATGATATTTTAAGAATTCTATTCCAATAAATATTATTTGAGTACTACCAATACTATCACAATGTAGTATATGTTTATATATATTCTGTATATTTTTGTAAATGCCATTTGAATATCTGAGATTCCATTTGACAAAGTCACATAAATGTTGTCATCGGCTACAATTTTTGTCTTATTACAACAATATTAAAATTAAATAAAATAAAATTATATATTTCATATTATACTATTCTTTTCATTCCTGAGTATTTGTCATCTTTTAATTTTTTGGTCAAGATTGATAAACTTTGACCTCAAATTAAATAAAAATGATAGTATATTTTGATACAAAAATAGTTTTATTAATATATAATATATTTTTTTATCTAATTAAAGGTTGAAAACAGTTAACTGAAAAAATTCTAAAATTCTAAACTGGACAAATATTGATGGACAAAGGTAGTAACATAATAAAAATTTGTTACGTTCCACATTTTTCTAACATCAAAAAATTATTTTGGGGTACCCTCGGTTCTATGGTAAGAACTCACATGTCTCACACTATCTCAAATACGGAGTATGTTTTAGGGTATCCTCGATTTTGTCGTAAGAACTCTCAGATTTCACATTATCTGAATATCATCTCGGATTCTTAAAATTTGCAGTATAATACTCCAAGTTTATTTTCATGAGTTTATTTTAGATGAGGTGAGATTTGAGAATTTTAACACGAAAGAATCAAGAGTAATCTAAAATATTTTTTTAAATAATGTGGGGTTAAAAGTTGTTAAAAGAATCAATTCGGGTGCCCGTTAAATTTCTTTTTCTAACACTTATCCATTTCTGCTCTTAACCATACCGTCTCCCTCTCTCGTTTTGTTCCGCACACATGCCGGAACCGCTGTGGAATCTAATCCTAACCAGGCCATTTGAGGATTTTCCGGCGCTTTCTCCGTCTTTCCCGTGCGTATATTTGTACTCTGTGTTGCAATTGATTGTGTATATCTGCAATTATTTTACCATCTAGGGTTATTATGTTCGGATACGTTACCGCCGTGCGAGCTCCCGATCCGAAATCCACCGTCGGGTTTAGATAAGAGTTCGATTCTGTAAACCATTAATTACGTATGGCTTCAGTCCTAGTGTTCTGTGTTGGGGCATTGGGCCAATAACATTTGGACTGGTTCGGGCTCTTCGGGTTGGTTCTTCATCTTCTTTGTTGAATCCACCATCCAACTTGGTAAATTTGCTCATGTTTGACCTTCTCTTGAGTTTTGCTGCGTATAATTCAGTATTATATGGAGCTTTTGTGCGCCAGCTCTTTTTGTAATTCCAGAATTGGACTTTGTGCTTTCCAGTTCATAGTTTATCTCTCATTTCCATCCAGGAAGACTTTTTTTGTCCCAATTTTCCATTTTTTTGTAAATAGAAAATGACATTAGATTAATAAAACTACAGATTTGGGGTTGCATTTATGCTTGTTTGGAAGCCTGAAATACTATTAACCAGCCGTGGGAAAATATTACTACGGTTGCCCCAAAGTATGTGTTCGGTTTGACTTTTTCTAGTGGGCAAACTTTCATTCTTACTTGAATAAAAGTAGCCTTAGATATTAATGAAAAAACAATTTCATTAGATCGATCTTACAATAAAATTTCAAAAAATTATTTCATTTTGATAATATGCAATGTAATTTTTAGAATATTTTATTGGTAGCCAAAGTTTGTTTTGTTTTCATTCAAAAAAGTCAAACTAAATGAATACTAAACGTAATATATATTTATACTATGTATAATATATTTATATTTAGTCTCCCTTCATTTTAAATGTTTTAACTTTTAAGTCTCTCTCGTTCTGTTTTGCTTTTCTTGTTTTTTTTCATCTAAAAAGCTAATTTCTACTCCCTTTGTATTTCATATTTTGGTATGGGACTCTAATAGTAGTAGACGTTTAGTGTTAAATAACTTTGTTGGGGGCCTTATTTTGGCATTTAAAGTTCAATTAGGGATCCAGAGATTCAGTTGATGTTGAAAGCAATCCCCAAACCGGAAAGGAACCCTTACTATCCTGAGTAAATTAAGTCACTAGTGAGATGTGAAATTTTGTGTCAATGTTGGGATACCGCGTAAGCTTTAAGTGTTACAATCTCTTCTCATCTTTTATTGTATGAGGTTATGATTTCTGAGTATTCTTTTTGTGAGATGAGATCAAGTTGAGTAGTCTTTTCCATTGTATTCCATCAACTTGCAACCATTTTGATGATAAAAAAAACTTACTAGTTACTACAACTTTGTGTTTTGTACTCTGTATCATATATGGGGAAAGGTTTAAATTAGTTAGCAGTTCTGATGCTATCGCACTTATTCACACATGTCTTCAATGCTCTTTCTGTGTATAGCTGTCTTCTCATTTTTCTCTGTTTAAGTTGTATAATTGGTTGTTTATAACTAAAAGAATGTTAACTTGCTGATCTTCTCAGGGGATTCTAGAATATCAGGAAAGCAATGGAGATAGCAGCTGACTCGGTCATAGTCAATTCCAGTAGACTGAAATCTGTTGTGTGGAATGATTTTGATAGGGTCAGGAAAGGTGACACTTTTATAGCTATCTGTAGGCACTGTAATAGGAAACTTAGCGGGTCAAGCACTAGTGGAACTTCACATCTGAGGAATCACTTGATAAGATGTAGAAGAGGATCTAACCAAGACATAAGTCAGTATATCACAAGGGGCAAAAGAAAGGAAACCACTCTCACTATTGCAGATTTCACTTTTGATCACAGAAATGACAAGTCAGTTACCATTGTGAGAACTAATAGTCTAGATCATGGCAAGGAAGGGGGCAATGTCGGAAGCTTTAATTTCGATAACAGACAAAGTCGGCTAGATCTTGCCCGCATGATCATATTACACGGTTACCCTTTAGCTATGGTTGAGCACACTGGATTCAGGAGGTTTGCTAAAAATCTCCAACCCTTATTTGACATTCCAACGTTTGATGGGGTGGAGGCTGATTGTAAGGAAATTTATTTGAAGGTGAAACAAAAGGTGTATGAGGAGTTGGATAAGGTACCGAGTATAAGCCTAACTGCTGATACATGGACTGCTAATGGAGATGCCGAATACTTGTGCTTAACCGCTCATTACATTGATGATTCTTGGCAACTGAAGAAGAAGATTCTGAACTTTTTAATGATTGATCCTTCTCAAACAGAAGACGTTGTTTCAGAAATTATCATGACAAGTCTGAGGAATTGGGATATTGACAAAAAATTGTTTTCGGTGACACTGGATTGCTATTCTTTATATGACAAAATCATTCCAAGAATCAGGGAGCAACTCTGTCAGCACAGGTTTCTCTACGACGGGCAATTAATTGATATACGCTGTGCAGCAAGTTTGGTCAAGTTGATGGCTAAAGATGCTTTGGAGAAGTTATTTGAGATAGTCCACAAGATTCGTGAAAGTATTCAGTATGTTCACCAGTCACAGTCAACACAAGAAAAGTTTGACGAGATGGCTCAAGTGGCTGGAATTAGTAGCCAGAAAATCCTGTGTCTTGATAATATGAACCAGTGGAGTTCTACGTACACCATGCTTGAAGCTTGTTTAGAATACAAAGATGCGTTTACCCTTTTACAAGAACATGACCCTCATTATGAGGCATGCCCATCTACTGCAGAGTGGGACAGGGCTAATTCTATCACTTGTTTTCTCAAGAAATTTTTTGACATTTCAAACACTATTTCAGGATCCAAGTATTCCACTGCAAATATGTATTTCAATGAAATTTGTGATATTCATTTGCTGTTGATTGGATGGTGCCAGAACTCGGACGATTTCATTCGTTCTTTGGCATTAAAAATGAAAACCAGATTTGATGAGTATTGGAACAAGTGCAGTATGGCATTGGCAATCGCAGTAATCTTAGATCCACGGTTCAAGATGAAACTTCTCGACTACTTTTACCCTCAAATTTATGGTGCTGAGTCCGCAAAATGCATTGATACTGTTTCAAACTGCATGAAGGCTTTGTACCATAGACATGCAGAAGAATATTCACCACTAGCATCTCATGGTCCAAGTGATGATTCTAGAGAAGACCGGCTGATGGGTTATGATAGATTCCTATGTGAAACTTCAGATAGTCATAACATAAAATCAGACTTGGACAAGTATTTAGATGAACCACTGTTTCCTAGGAATGTTGATTTCGACATACTTAATTGGTGGAGGGTTCACACCCCAAGATTTCCAATTTTATCTACGATGGCTTGCAATGTTCTTGGGATTCCATTGTCAAAAGGTGGACTTGAGTTTATATATGATACTGGAAGCAGAACCCTTGACAGCTCTAGGGGTTCGCTAAGATCTGATACTTTGCAGGCATTGATGTGTGCCCAGGACTGGATGCGCCATGAACATGAAGGTTAGGTTAACCCCCTTCGCACATTACTAGTTGTTGATTTTAAGCCTTTGTTTGGTAAGAGGGAACTAAAGGAGATGTCAGTCTTTTGGCTGGGGATGGGAATCCGAAAACCTCTCATACCTCACTTGCCCAATTTGGGACATTTTGGGTTTTTAATTTCTTTTTAATTTCTTTCACCTTATTTAACCCAAGTTTGTTCTACATTGTTATTATTATGAATGTATTTAATAATATACTTTTCATTACAAGTTTACAACAAACTTTATATCAAATAATTTATAATAACATCTTTTTTTCCAAAACAATATTGCTTCCATTTTAAGAAAATTGTCTTTCCTCAATGTACAGTTTTTAAAATTTTGGTATAGTACAACTGTCATATTCAAAAGGGTTAAATGTGTTTTTAGTCCCTGTAAAATATGTGAATTGTTTTTTGGTCCATGTAATTTTTTTTGTTATGTCATGCTTACATTTCTTTATTTTGATAATGGTCTTTAAACATAATTCACACTGTTTTTTTTGAGATAACACATTTATTTTGTACGGAGTATTAAACATCCTAGTCTTACATTTCTAATTCTAGTACCTCTGACACAATTCTCATGCCCTAAATGATGTTTTTATTCATATTACATCTCCAATTGCAAGTATTTTGAGAATATAGTACTCTATAACATAATTTAGAAATTGGAAATGTAATTTGATGAAGGACAAACGATCTATAGCATGAAAATTGTTGTGAGGCAATCAAAAATGAAAAATTAGGATGTTGAGTACGAAATAAATGTTTTATGTCAACAAATTAGAAGTGCTAATTACATTTAATTACCATTTTCAAAATAAAAATTTTGTGAGGATGACTTAACAAAAAGATTTACGACCAAAAACAAAAATCGACTATTTGATAGGGACTAAAAACTTATATAACCCTATTTAGAATAAATTATTTGAGTCCACTAAATATGTCATATGTAATTTGTATCTTTTATGTTGCTTTATCAACTATGTCATATGTAATGTGTGCAACTGTTTTAGGTTTGCTACTAACATTCTTGTGACAGTTTTTACAGATTCCAAGGATTCATCAAGAGATGCAACTTCTGCTGATCCAAAATAATGGCAAGATTTCAGTCTGGTTTTTGTGATTAAATTCAAGGAGGGGGTGGTTGGAGCTCTTCCTCCAATCCCCCACCAAGGTTCGAAACCCGGCCCCCCCAAAAAAACAATGACATTCAGTTAGAACCATATGTGCATACAAGTATTTTGTGGAGGTTTGTGACTCTCTTTTATATTCTTTCAATATGAACTGTGGAATGTGCCCATTTTGCATCCCATATTGGTCAAAGGTTAAAATTTTAACCCCAACTTGTCATGGTAAATAGAGAAATCACCCTAAATAAAGGAGTGAAACATAGAGAAAGTATCAAAATAAGATCTCCATGTTTTTATCCTCAAAATTAAGAGTTCGTGTGGTGGTAATATTGCATTGTACATGGATATTTCATAATACTTTTTAATAATGTATATGATTATGATTAACACTGTAAATTTTTTTAATTCCTATTTCAGGAATTAAAACATGAAATTCCTATTTTGGTATAGTTTCGGTTTTTATTCCTCCTTAAGTCTTTTTCCTTGCAAATAGAGCTTTGATTGCTATTAGACCTAGCAAAAAATGATCCGACCTGTTTTTGACCCGAAACCCGACTTGAAAACACTGGATTTTGAACAAAGGTTTTGATTACCGAACCCGAAGTTGACCGAACCCGAAATGGCCTGCTAAGAATGGGTCAAACCCGATCGAACCCGAACCCGACCTGACTCGCTAAAGTAAGAATTTTTCAAAATCACACTTTTTTACTCGTTTTTACTCTTTTCCAATACTTTTAATGATATTTTTAAATTCTTTTATTGATTTATATATCTAAAAATTACTTCAGAGTTTAAAATAAAATAATTTTATAGATTTAATACTTTTTCTTTAATATTTTTAATTTATTTAATAGAAAATGTAAGTGTTAATGTGAATTTTAAAATTTAGAAAACCAAAGTTATAACCCGTTGGGTCAACCCATACCCGATGACACAGGGTCATTAACATACAGTTTTCAACCCGAACCCGAATTGACCCAAACCTGAAATAACTCAAACTTGAAGTGACCAAACTCGATCCCGACCTGACCGACCGATTTGTCAGCTCTAGTTGCTATGGTTTGGTTTCAACATTGCAAAGCGTGGCTATGGGGTTTTCATCCTATTGAGCTTTTTGTTTGTGTTTGCCTGGTGTACAAATAAAGTATCTTATTTTGGTGTACTTCTAACATGCCACTATATGTAAATCATTCACAGAAATTTGTAGATATGAAATATGACTTTTTTTTTTCTTCATTTGATTCGGTTGGAATACTTTTTAATTTAATCTAAGTTGTTTTAAATAAGAATAAGTTCAAGTGAACAAACTCATATCCTGTGAATGTGAAAATCTTTTTAGGTGTAAAGAATGGTGATATTGTTGGATTATGTTACAAAAAATTCACAATAATTAGGAAATGTTGTTCATCCTTAATGAGATTGTTGTAGTTTAAACTTAAAATGGATATGCGTAGTAAATTGTAAAAATGAAAAAGAAATCCAACAAAATTTTCGTGACTTGCAAAAAAAACGTCGTGGAATATTTTATTCAAATTCTATTCATACAAATTACCAAGTATTTTATTTTTAACTGGTAGTTATACTGCATGGACTATGCTAGAAGTCTCTTATGTTTGATGGGTTAAGAAGTAAAATAAGAGTAAAACATTGATAAAATCCTAAAATATGAGTTGAAAGATAAATCTCAAAAATAGGAGCTAAAAGCATCAGCAGTACTACCCGCATACTATCTTTAATTCCATTACAATTTATCTTCTTCATTAAAAGTATCATCACTGGTCGAGCAATCAATTTCCTTCTGTTGTCCACCTCTCCATCTCATGACAATTGCTACCGCCATCACTTGATTGAACTGTAGCGCCATCACCGCTTCCACCCCCGCCCTCTTAGCTTCGTTGTGTCGTTGCACCCCTGTCAAGCCTCACAACTTGCTCCACCTCCATCTCCCTCTCGCGATGTCAAATACGGACATAATGTCACCAAGGTCAGTCACTATCGTCGTTGCAGTGACATGGTGCCACAGTGACTCTCAATACAATGCTAGACGGAACTACAATGACAAATATGACACTGCAAAATGACAAATGTGTTACTGCACAATGCCAAACATATCAATATATAATGTCCAAAAGGAAATAAAATGCCAAGAAAGACTGATTTGCCTACATACAATGCCACATTTCATACTGTAGTTCCAACAATGAAAAAGTCAAAATTAATGTTAAAAAATTCTAACATCTCAAATCTGCAATTTAATGATAAGTAACAATGAAATTAAACAAATGAGCGGCCCTATGAGACCATCGAAACTACAAAGGTCACTGATTAAATTGTGTCAGAATCACCAGAAGCCCAAACATGAGTTGGGCGGTGATAGATCAAGGAGAAAGTGGTGGACATGTGAGGAAGATAAACTAAGGATAAGGGATTGAAAGTAGATTTACAAACTGAAAAACAAGAAAAAAATTAATTGAAGCATGAAGAAGAAGACGACTGATCGATTTTTTAGAAATGGTTTGGAGAATCTCCTCGATTGATGGGAGCTTGGCCTTCTTTTAGAGAGAGAAAAAGAGAGAGAAAATTGTATTGAAGTAATTGAACCAATTTGACTTACTTCATTTTGCAATTGCTAAAAGTTTGATGATGGTGGTGGAAAGCTGGTGTAAGAAGAGAAAGAGCAAGTTGAACCACCGAGAAGGGGTGAGAAAGGGTGAGATGAACGCCAGTTAGATAGATTGCTCTTACTTTGGGTATATAAGTTAGAGACTCCTATTTGGAGTATATGTCTGATGATTTACTCTTATTTGGAGGGTTTTCTTATGTTTGATTGGACACAAAATTTAAGAAAACTTAAATTGTGTTTGAAACGGGGAAGTGGCGTAGAGAAAAGAGAAATAATAATAGCCACAAGAACATTTTAAAAGTAAAAGGTGAAATCTCTTTTTGAAATAAATAAAAAAGAAAATGTGAAACATTATTGCGAGACTTGTAAATGACAAATGTATATATATTGCTTTTACCATCTGTATTGTTTGTACAATTTGAGATTGCATAAAAATGTTTATTTTTTAGTCTTATTTTCAAGATTCGATTTTCATTCTTTTGATATAATTTGTTGAAACAATAGACTTGTGCCTAATTCAACCCCAAAAGTTAACTCAAGAGGTTGAGGTACCCAAGCTATTAAATAGCAGCACAATATAAGGCTGCATAGCCGATGTGGGATGAACAAGTCAACACGCCCCCCTCACACGAGGCGCAGATTACTGCGGGCGTGGTCCCAACATCAATGGCCTAGCTCCGATACCATGTTGAAACAATAGACTTGGGCTCAATTCAACCTCAAAAGTTAACTCAAGAGGTTGAGGTACCCAAGCTATTAAATAACAGCACAATATAAGGCTGCATAGCCGATGTGGGATGAACAAGTCAACATAGGCCTTCTTCCAAAATATCATTTTTGATAAGCGTAAGCATTTCAGTTAAATTATTAATGATGTAGATAAATTTTGAAAATTCTAACACTATAAGTTGCGTTTAGATATAATTTTCAAAATGTTAACTTCTAACGTTGTTGCAAACGAGGCTACTAAAACCAAAATGAAAAAAGTTTACAAAAGAAGTGAATAGTGTATGATGGAATTTAATTCCCAAAGATGTTTTTTACTTGTGGTATACTCCGTATATGGTACGTAGTACATTGGATACGTGGTGCAACATGAGACATCGTGACGCTCGCATTCAGACGCGTGTAAAACAACAACGTACTCAGAAATCCCAATTCCAATTTCAGATTCAAGAACATCTTTCCACCTCCCATCCAGATCCACTGTCTTTTTCTTTTTTGTAATTTATAATTTCAGGTAATTTTCTCGTTTTAGATTTCGAGAAAGAATCAGTTGATCTTAGCCACTGAAAAAAATAAACAAAAAAAAATCCGACTGCTCTTTTGTTTTTCATCATATTCAAATCATTCAATGCCCATCAGCTGCTTGATAAAACGACGCAATGAACAAAGCACATGTTTTTTTTACTATTAATATACTATTATTAAATATAGAAATTCAATTTTTTTTTAAATTTCTACTCTACTACTGAAGATGCAAGTTATGTTGAAGTGTGTATTTTATTTCCCTTTTTGACTTAGGAGAAAAGTTTGAACCTTTTCCTTACTTTCTGCAAATTTGGGTTCCTGCATTAGCTATAAGGAAATGAAATATGAGTTTTTTTTCATTGCTCAATATAAATATATGATTTTTCCTTTCTTTTTTCGTGTTCTATACGGAGTGTCACAATGTGATTTCCTACTCATTATTAAAATATGATCCGCTGATGTTTTTTTGTCAAATGCTGTGATGCAAAGGAGTTTCAATAGCATATATGATTCCTTAAAGGCTTTTCTTTTCTGTAACTTTTTTGGGCACTAATGGCTTTTTCACATTTTATCTCTGTAGTTATGTCGAAACGTGGAAACCGATCACAGAAGCAATCGAACCTTGCTCGGTATATTCGATTGCCCGTTTTAACCCTGTTTTTCCTTCTCCTATGTGTCTCAATCGTCATTTTGTTTGGGAGAAATGGGGAGATATCTTATCCATCACCACCACAAACATCAACCCAACATTCCAACTCATTGGGCTCCTCTTCTGTTAATCTGGATCCCACTGTCGAAATCAAGAACGGGACGGATTTGATATGGCAAATACCCGAAAACCCGAAGGCGGTTCTCTTTCTAGCGCACGGCTGCAATGGCAAAGCTCTCAACTTTTGGGACAAAAACCCAAACTGCCCCAACTGTGTTGGCCTGCCTGAAGAAAGGCTCATTGTGATGAATGCCCTTTCAAGAAAGTTTGCAGTTCTTGCCATATCCAGTGCCAGAAGATGCTGGTCATTCGGGGAGGAAAGGCGTAAAGTGAAACACATTATAAATTGGTGGGTATCTAAGCAAAACCTGGAAGACCTGCCCCTGGTAGCTCTCGGCGCTTCCTCGGGTGGATACTTCGTCTCCCTTCTTGCCACAGATATCCAATTCAGCAGCATTGTTCTAATGATAGCTGAAGGTTTGTTCGACAGAATCAATACCAAGAACGGGTACCCGCCCACTATGTTCGTCCACATGCCCAGAGATGGAGCCCGAAAGCTTAGCATTGAGAGGTTCATCATACTTTTGAAAGGGAATGGTGTTGATGTCGGAGAGATCGAGTGCTGGGAATTCCCGCTCTCACCCGAATTTTTAGCAGGTCGGGTTCCGGGTCTGAATCAAACAGTTTCTGTGAAACTGTTTGAGCTGTTTCAGGAGAAAGGATTTGTGGACAAGAGGGGT